CCCCCCCCACTGGGGGTGCCCCCTGGTGGGAAGGGGGTAGGAAGTGGCCAGGTGTCTGGGTCAGGCGTGGCTCAGGACACGCAGTGAGCCCCCCACAGCTGGATCAAGGGAGAGCCCCACTATCCCGGCGAACCCCACTGCCACAAGCTGCCCCAGGGGGTCCGGCAGGGGGGCCCAGGGGTCTCCCTCACCTCCATCCCCCTCCACCCCCTTTCCCTCCCTTCCACCGCTGGCCCCCCTTCCCTCTGGCCCCCGCTGTCGGTTCCCCTTTCCTGCTTTTGCTCCCTAAGGCTGTTGAAGCCCAAATCCACCACCTGGAGACCCGACCTGCCCAGAGGCCCCGGCCGGGGGACCCCCACCTGGAGTACTTTGTCCGGTGCGAGGTGCCCAGCGGGGACCTGCCCGCCCTGCTCAGCTCCGTGCGCCGGGTGGCGGAGGACGTGCGCGGCGCGGGGGAGCGCAAGGGTGAGGCCAGCCCCGCCCCCAGGGCCGCCCGAGATCCGCAGACCTGGGGCGCAGGGCCCCCACAGGGCCCCAGGGACGACACGGGGGACACTGGCCCCACCGACTGGGGCCCGCTGCCGCCGCCCCACACTGCCCAGACCGGCCTCTGGGACCCCGCATGGCATCCCCGCCAGACCCTCGGAGGCTGTGCCAGGGAGGGTGCCCGCGCTCACTCTCGTCCTTGCGCCCCTCTGAAGTCCTCTGGTTCCCGAGGAAAGTCTCCGAGCTGGACAAGTGCCAACACCTGGTCACCAAGTTTGACCCTGACCTGGACCTGGACCACCCGGTAAGTCGCTGCCCCGAGGGTGGTGGGCTGGGTGCTCCGATCCTGGCGGGTGATGGGGCAGGGAAGGGGCAGTGGGGTGAGAGCTAGGGGCGGGGCTGGAGGCGGGCGGGGTCGAGGAGGGTGGGGCCGGCGGTGGGCGGGGCCGAGGCGGGCGGGGGCGGCGGTGGGCGGGGCCGGAGGCCGGCGAGGGGGACCCCCACCAGCGCCCACTCTGCCGCAGGGCTTCTCTGACCAGGCCTACCGCCAGCGCCGGCGGCTGATCGCCGAGATCGCCTTCCAGTACAAGCAGTGAGGAGCGGCCCAGGCACCTGCTGCCAGGCGGGCGGGGCGGGGGTCTTTGTTCGCACCACCATCACCTTGTGGCACCTGGGGTCCCTGAGTCCCTGCCCAGGAAGCTGCGGCCCAGACGCTTGAAGAGTGGGCCGAGCACCCCGGAGCCCCACTGACCGCTGCCCCCTCCGCAGTGGTGACCCCATTCCCCGCGTGGAGTACACGGCCGAGGAGATCGCCACCTGGTGAGAGACGGCTGGGGCGCCAAGGAGACCCCGAGCCCCGCGGGCAGGTGCCCGGAGGGGCTGGCGCGCCGG